AATTAATTATTTAAAAGTAAAATACAAAATGTTATCTTCTAAGTATTCCATTATACACAGTACTTTTACTGGATTCCAAAAATTTCAAGTTATAAGGGAAAAAATTAACATTACTATAATACCTGACAAAATGTTTTGAGCCACTTTCTCACTCCACTCAGGTAATTCTTTAGCTTTTTCTTCTGAAACTGGCTCACAGGGTACCATGTGACTCAGATTAACTTCTTCATCTGAAGTATCTTTAGTCTAAACAGTAAAGATGTTTCAAAATATAAACATGAAGTACTAAGGGGGAAAACTGTTAAGCATTATATAATAAAATATTAAGCAAACAAATAATAGATATAATTAATGAAAATATCTCCAGATCGTTACTGGTACATTTTACAAAGTGCATTACCAGAACTGGCATACAGGTGAAAATCATTCTAGTCTTACATAAATCTTCAACAGTAAGAGATAAACACCAGTATAACTCCAATATAGCATTTATCAAATCATATTTAAATTGACTTTTCTTGACTAGGCTGTATGAAGTTCCTTCAAACAAGTGTCATCCGCAGATCTCAGTAGTATGCATATGGTACTCGGGAAGGTCAAAAGATTTCTGTCAAACAACTTGATCAGTAATAAACAATACATCCAAATAAACTGACTTTGACAGGGATCAAGTGTTGGAGACCAGGCTACGTGACTTGGGTCCCGAAGAGTCCAAGGCTGATGTATTTGCTTCAGAAATAGAAAAGTTAATGAAAAAAACCCACAAAAAACACAGGCGGAATGTGCAGAGAACTCATAAACACAGCACTCCTGGGGCAAGAAAACTTCTACTGAGGACAATGCACAGAACACAGGCCTCTGGGTAGGAGGGAGGGATCTGTTCCCCATTATTCATTAGTTACACATTTACTGACATCTACTGGCAGTCTCTGTTCCACAAACGACGCACAACACCCTCCCCCTGTGCTTTTGGCTATCTAATAAAAGTGAGTCAACCCAGAGATTACTGAGTGTCCACTAGAGGCGTTATCTCCTCTGGTTCCCCCTTGCATCTTGAAATTTGTCTGTCTTTATTTCTTGCCGACTTCTCAATGGGTATCTGGGGGTCTGATCTGCCCCTGGCAATCAAGTAGAAGCTAATTCGAAATAAGAACAGATAACATGGAATGACCTACCATTCCATTAAAATGGAAACGGGGAACAAGGAAATATCTGTACCTTGCTAATTTAACAGCTACTATGGGAGGGCCAACAGCCACAATCTTAATGACAAATTAATTCATTCTAAAAACTGAGGAACAAGCTAATTCAGACCTTGTAATATTATAATTTAAAAATCAAAGTGCCCCACAGAACTTCACTTAAAATATAAAAATAGATTTTGTATATATAGATATGTATAGATAC